GCTTGAGTGATGCCTTAAGAACACGGTCTTCTGTATTTATAAGACAGATTACTGAACACACACACACACACACACACACACTTGAAATTGTTTAAGGACAGGCAGAAAAATGGAGATAAGGAAAAAGTAAAGTAGGAGTCTTTTCGTGCCTTAAACCACAATGCATCAAATGCTAAAAAGTTCACCTGATAGAGACCGGCTGAGCGGAAATTACCTACCTCATGACCTGTGGAATCAGTGATTTTAAAAGACCAAGTAACACACAAAAGGAGCTATTGTGAAGGATGGTAACTTTGTGAAGATTTATGTTTTGATTGGAAATAATTATATCTGGTATACTGAGAGAAACTCAGGTCCTCATGCAAAATTAAATGTAAATTTGTACAAATTTTCAAAACACTATCATTTTCCTAGAAGACACTTATCAAAGAAGGAAAATTCATTTAAAGCCAATAATTAGAGTTGACAAGAGAATGTGTTAACAGAATCCTTCTTAAACACATCTGCTTTCTGATCTTTAGGCACAGAGAATGAAAAGACCCTACCCCCAAACATATTAATGCAATGGCTTTTTATGTAATGGTAAACATGATGGTATTATTTGAGCCACCATCTTTGAAACTTTGACTAAACATTTTTAAAAAATAAGTTGACAGGCTCAGCATTGACAGGATCTGCTAAAATATTTTGATAAGATTTTCTTACTAAAAATGTCAGAATAAGCCAGCTACACATTACTGAATTAGCTAAAATATATTGTAGAATTTGGGGGTTTAATTTTAAATACAGCTTTAGGAAAAATTTGGGAGAAATATGTAATTACAGTAATATATGTTCACTTAAAGTATGTAGCGCTTATATAGACCACACAATCACAAACATCAATTTAGAATGAATATAAAGTTGTAATTTGTAACTTTATTTAGTAACTTTCCTCTCATTTAAAATCATCTATAGTTAACAAAAAAGTAGCTTTGCAATATATCCTAGATATCTGCATTAGTATGCCTAAATTTACTTTCCATTTAACACTTTTTAATAAAAATCAATTTGAAACTGTTTCTGTATTCACACTGAACGGAAAACAACTTTTAGGAGGTATTTACTCCAACTATAACTCCCACTCCTGGACCCATAAGTCTCCTCTCTCCCCCAACCCAGTCCCTATTTTGGAAGGTTCTCAAGTTAGCATTTTTCGTTTCTCTAAAAATAGAAAACCTGAATAATGATGGTCAATTAGATTTGATTGTCTTCTGAAACAGTGAGGAATTGTTTCCAATTGAAGATTCTGTTTCCATGAACTGTAACAATTCCGTATACTTGTTCAATTCTATCTAAAGAACTTCTTTTTCTGCTTAAATCATTTTAGTTTACTAAAATCCCTGAATGCACCTCCCTGAAATCTTAAGTCAAGTGGATTAATTTAGAAGAGTAAATCTAGTGGGCAAAGTAATCTGGATAAAAACAGCTTTCTGATGCTTAATTTAGGAAACTGTTGAAATTTCTGGCTCTTAGAAAGTCATTAGAAGAGGAGGAATAATAGTCATAACCTTGCACAGGCCAAAGCCACTTGGAGGCCATCTGTCAAGCATCAACCTTCCTATCTGAGCACAGGAATGGTGGGGGCAGTCTTATATGAAAATTAATGCCATTCTTCCCCAAGAGGGAATAGACTTGACCACCAGAAACTTCTTCCCATTTAGCCAACATATGTCAACATATTTCCAAACAGCTGCTACAATTTCAAGTCATGAGCCCTCCTTCTGATAAGGGCGTAAGGTGTAAGAGACCAAATAAGTTACCTTCCAACTGGAAGATAAAAGCTCAGCCAGATGTCTACTGCTAGCAACTCCCTGATGGGGGAGCCCTGGTCTGGCCTGAGCCAGGAGGGTCACTGAGAACACATTTGTAGGAGACTTAGCTGAACACACCAGACTAAGTACAGTAAGTACCAACAGTATAGTCACCCGAAAGGTCCCTCATTTCTTTTTCCACAGCCTCTTTCCACTTCTCAACCACCTGGATTAACATTCTCACCCCAAGTCCTGCTTTTCCAAGCCCCTTAAAAAGTATTGTGTAGCTGAAATGACAGTGAGGCCTGGGGTCAGAAGCTGGTTAAGTCAGAAACAAGGCAGTGTCCAATTGCAAAGGCCAAGTCAGCTTATTTCTTCTTCCTCTCTTTGCATGCCACTGCTTCTACCACCAGCTTTTCAGAAGAAAAGGAGTACCAGAACTAACTCAATCTACCTGGGTCCACCCTCAGAAAGATGGAAGGACTTGGAAAAGTCTTCTCCCTTTCTCTTCTCTGCTTCTGTACAGAATGACCAGGCTCATTAATTTGCATGCACAGAGATGGAAAAATATAGTAATGACATTAATTGGCAACAGAAGTAGTTAGCAAAAAAATCCAGTGACTTCAGTACCTTTGACTATAAAAAGTAAAAAAAAAAAAAAAAATCAAGAACCAAGTGGAGGGTTGGGAGAGAATTTTTGATCTCCTGTTTCTTGGAAGATACTGGTTTATAAATGTGAGGACTTTTGGAGTCAAAGTACTCCAACCTTAATCCCAAGTATGTCACACTAAGATGTAGGAGGCAGAAGTGAAGGTAGAAAAACAAAGATTCCCTTTGTGGGCCCTAGCCCAGAAGCCCATTGAGCACTGGAGCCTCTGGCACCTCACTCTCCCTGGGCATCATCCTTTCCCATTGTGGGTCTCCTCACCCACCTCTTTCCCTGCCAAGTGTATATAGTGTCTGTCAATTTTGCTGTAATCAACTGTACAGTTTGCCTCTTGTTCCCCGCCAGGTGGTTGGTGACCTAATGTCCCCAGAGATGAATCTACCTATCCTCTATGTGTCAGTCTTTCTCTGACGGAAAGCTGGCCTTCTCCTGCTGGCTTCTTCCTCTTCAGCCTGTGTGTTTTTCTCTTCACACCCCTGACCTACCTTCTTGCCAGTGTCATTCCTTCCCATGCCCTCCCTTTGGAACTGGCAAGCTTATCTCTCCATCTTGCAGGGCTGAAGTTACTCTCCACCGTCTGCCTCTGTCCTGCTTGCCTATCTGACTTCCCCCATATGGGTCTCCTACTCCATGCTGGTGCTGGTCTCTTCCCCGCAGGTGTACCTGTCTAGGAGCAGCTACTGACATACGCAGTTTTGTATTTCTTTTATCTTCTTGCATTCTTATTACTGGGTGCACACTGACTTTCCAGCCACAAATGAGACTCTTTTTTCCCTAGGATTTCACAGTTGTGTAGGAAGGTATTTCCCCCCCCACCCCCCCATGTACATACACTCCTCCCTCCCCTCCTAAATCTGTGTGTTTTCCACCATACACTTCTCTGATGGATAACACATGTGCCCTGAAGTGTACATCTACACAGCCACTCGATTCTGTGAGTGCCCTTCCGAGCAAGCTGACCTCTGTGAGTCTCTCCTGCTATTTACACCTATACTGAATTCATGTACTTCCCAAGCAGTGCACAACTGTGTGCCTCCCTCTGTGTGCACCTTTATGTAGGGGGCTTCTCTGAAGATGAGTCTCCCCTCACGCAGCTTCATAAGCTCCCACTGAACCAGGTTTCACACCTCTCTCACAGCTCTGCTTCCAAATCCGACTTCCTTCTATGCATTTAAAGTACCTGGCACTAGTGGGAGCTCAACAGATGTTTATTCTGTTCTCCACTTTTATCTGAATAACTATGTGAGTCTGAGTCTGGGTGTCCCTCTGGCCCTCTGTGCCTGTTTCAGTTAATTGAAGCATGTTTCATTGGTATGGACTGGACTGGGTGGGCTGTTTGTCAGTACGCCCTGTGGGTTTTCTTTCTTTCCTACTATCCCTCCTCTCAGAGTAAATGTTACTTGTCTCTCATATGGTATATCCCTCTCTTTATACATCCATACACTGCATGTTGGTAAACAGCTTTCCCATGCACCCTGGGTTATGGCGTGTTTTCTCTGTCTCCCCACCCTCCGCTTTTTTATTTTTATTTTATTCCCCCAACGAGAAAATGCGTTTCTGGGTTTGTACTCCAACTGCGGCATGTGTGCGTCTATATGACTCTTAGCTGTACTTGAGTTGTGTGTGTGTATACACGGGTGTCTCTTCGGAACGGGGTGCTGGGTGCGGGACGGGGGTCTCTGCCCTGGACGCGTGTATCTTCCCCCATCCTCACCCTGGATCCACGTCCCTATCGCCGGGAGTTAGCCCGAGACAGCGCGTCTTTTGGATACAAGGGAGCCTTTGCGAACCTTTCTCCTGCTCCCGGGTGAGCGTTGGGTGTGTGCACGGTGCACGGTGTTGGTCCCTCTCCGGGAAGGCGAAGCGCCAGTGTCCCCGAATTTCTGGGAATGCAAGGTGTCCCCCTACTTTACATACGCGGAGCGTCGTGTCCCAGCCTTTGCGAGTACATGGTGTGCCCCCCAAGCAGTGTACCTGTGTCCCCAAGTCCCTGCGAGTACAAGGTGTGTCCCACCTCTACACGCGGAGCTGCTGTGTCCGAGTCTCTGCGGATCCGCGGTGCCTATGTGTTACCTCCCAAACGCGGACGGCTCATGCCCTCGGTACTCCGAGTTCGTTAGTGGTACGCTGCACCCGCTCCCCCTCCCCCGTCACGGACAGCGTAGTCATCTCAATTTTCTCTCTAGTGCTCCCCTCCCTCCGTGGGACAGAAAACGCCAGGAAACCCGCGGGCGCCGTCGGAAAGTCCCACAGCGGCGGCGCAGCCCACCCAAGGCTGCGGCTGCCTCGGCCCTGCCACCAGGGGCCGCCCGGCTGCCCGCCTCCCAACGCCCCGGCGCCCGGCCGACCCGGGACGGCAGCGTCAGCGACCCTGCCCGGCCCTGCCCAGCCTAGCTGCCGCGGGCGCTGACGGCAGCTGAGGCGAGCCACTGCTCCGCGGCCCCGCGCCGGTTGTCCGGAGCCCCGGGTGGAGCCACCAGGAGGCGACGAGCGCCCTCTCCCTCTCGCAGCCCTTCCAGTTGGCCGGCTGGCCCGCTCACCTTGTGGCTCTGGTAGGTCTCGAGCGCCCGGATCGCCGTCTCGGTGAGCTTCACATGCAGTACGGTGATGTTGTCTTGTCCCAGCCGCCCGCACGACAGCCCGTAGCGCTGCTCCTCCCGCAGGCCCGCCGCCCCCCCTGCCGCCATCTTAAACTCCCCGGGGTGCCGACGCCGACGCCGCTCGGGCTCTAGCCTCCACTGCGGCCGCGGCTGCTTGGGCTTCTGCAGCCGCCGCCACAGCTACGGCCATCCCGCTGCTGACGTACTGTCATATACTGCGCGCAGCCAGACCTCGGGCTGCCACCGCCGCCACCCGCCCCACCCTCTGGCCCCGCGCCCCGCCCCGGACTCGTCTCATTGGCCTCGTTCCCCTCGGGACGGCCTTCATTGGCCGCCCTACACTCTCACGGGGGCGGGGCCCAAAGTCTCTGGAGTTTTGCTCCCGGGACAGGACGTCCGAGGTGAGAGGCTGACGTAGAGGTGACGCGACAATTTAATCGCATCTTACGTCACGTTTGGTCGTCTTGGCTCGGCGGCCGCGATTGGTCAGGCTGGCTTGGGGGATCCCTTGCTAATTGGGTGTCCAGGTTGCCTGGCCGGGTTACCTAGAGTTGGAGCCCCGCCCCTTGGGGGATAGTAGTGCAGAGACGGGAGAGTAGGGGAATCTCTTCCTGCCCCGGTGGTCCTTGAAGAGGAGGACCCTCCACCCCCAAAGTGTGACCAAGTAAGGACTTCGTCCCCCGACGGTTGCGGAAGCTTGTGGGACTTGGGTGTGCGTGTGAGGGAGGGCGAAGTAGGTGGAGTCACTGGAGAGCATCCTCTCAAAACTCAGTTTAGCGCTGGTGAACAGGTGAAATTGGGGAAAACGCCCTTCTTCGTCATTTCACCCTAACCTTGAAATTAGTGAGTCGACCCTAGGCTTTAGGAGTTGTGCTGGAATATGTGGAGAACCTTAGGTACAACACCATACCTAAAGCTTACGTGCTTTTGCTGTGCTGGGCACAGTACTTTAGAAAATTGAGCTTCTAGGTCTTTCCCTCTTTATGCCCGTTCTGATCCTAGGGGAACACATCCCGTCTCTCTGGAGCTCACCACTGGGAAAGGGTTGTGCCTTTTACGGAATTTGGAGTATCTCCTTTCAAAGGACCATTTAAGAGTAGAACTGGAATTGACCTAAATTAAACATCCACACCTGTCATTCTTCGGTTCTGTTTGAGCTCTGCTCATTTTATTTGACATGGATGTGGGAAAACCTAGCTAGGGCTTAAGCTATTGGAGGCTAAGTAGAGGAGATGAGGGTGTGAGGGTGTGCGGAGGCCGTGCATACTTTCCATTCCTCGCAAGGCTCCGTGTGTAGGCGTGGCTAAAGTAGGGAGCCTAATCTAGAGCCCTCTTCAGGCTGTGTTTGGGTAGACTGACAGGCTTCCTGTCAGAGAGGATGAATTAACAGGGTGATCCAAAACACCAGATAAAAACAAACCATTGAAAGGATTGAAACCGTTAAAAGGCAGTGTAAAAAATCTACTTAAAAAAATTGAGACGCTTGTTATTTCCCTCAGATTGAAAACCTTGTTGTGTTTTATAGGGATTCCCTGGAGAAATTGAAAGGCATTTAAACAGTATTTCCCATCCTTTCAAATTGGATAGGGCTGTGATTTTCCCATAAGATCCAAGTGGGAGTTTTTCATGATTCATCCCACCCCATCACCCGAATTAATCCTTTCCCAAGCCTACAGGGTACACTGCCTCTTGATTCAGACCCGCAAGCGCTGGAAGTATCTAATATGAATTATAGAGCTACTTCTCTTTCCACAGAGTATGGGTTAAGTGAAAACATCTGTATTAACTGTTGGTTACATCACAGGAGAGCATTTTTAAAATTGACTTAATTTTAATCCACTAGAATTTGCTAGTTGTTAAGACATGATCAACACTTGTTAATTCAGTTTACTAAAGTGTAAATTATCTTGAATTCTTTGAATAGAGAAATTAAGGTAATCACAAAAAATAATTTTGTACGTGAATTATTCTTTTCTCATGTTGCTTTAATAGAGAAGGACTGACCACATATCTAAAACCTTAATTGTTTGCGGGGAGGGGGAGTCTGACCCAAACAAGTAGAACCTGTATCTCACTACTTTTCTTGTGAAAGTGGGTAAATTCCCACCCACATGTCATGTTGCTCTCCTGTTACTCAGAACTTCTGATGATACGGGGTGAGAGAGGTTCAAGGGGTGAGAGAGGATCAAGGGTGGTTTTCACTGTACTTTTCATATGTCTGACCTGCAGCAACTTAGTAGTAATTGATTTTCTTTTCTCAATTGTGGTAGGAAAATTTTTCTCATGTCCTATTTTAATGGGTAACATCATCTTTCACTGGGCAATATCTTATAGTGACTTATTGTTTGTTTATATTTTTCCCGTTTTGAGCTTTTCAACTAAGAAAGGAAGCAATAATCATGTACAAAGTAATATAGTAATTTAGTACTGTGTCTCTTCATTGCATAGTACACATTATGCCTACCTGAATTAGATGGGCAAGTTGTGATGCTGATAGGGGTAATTTGTTTGGAGGGATCTGATGAAAGTTGCTTTTTGGGAAGTTTATAGATATTTTCTGTATCGTTCAGAGTAAATAATTAACAAATAATTATTGAATGCCAATCGAGTGTAAAATGCTGTGGAGGATTTAAAAATTAAACTGTATAGTTTCTTATTTAAAGGAATTTTCTGTTTAAATATGGCAAATGAACCGATGCACTCCAAGCAAAGCAATTAGAGAATTAGAAAACGCTAGTTTGGGTGGTGGTGGTGATTAGCTCAAGAATTTAAAGAAAGGAGGTCTGGAGAGGTTTTGAAGAGGTGGTGGAACTTGAACATCTCTGGAGGGCTGAGTAGATTCTAGATAAGTAGAGATGGTATAGATGGGGAGAGGCCAACTGAAAATGATCTTAATGATCATTCTAGCTGAACCTCTTCATTTTATGAGTGAATAAACCGAGACATTGTTCATTCAAAAGCAACCTGCCTAACCTACTACAACCAGGAGCGGTAGGTCTCAATCAGCTCTTCTAGTCACTATATACATTAAATAGCTCTTTGGAATTAATAACTGAGGAGAAATATGTCTTACATGATAATTCAGCGCAAGGAAAAGGCAAAATAGAAGTAAACTGATGTAGGGCCTGCTCCATTTGTGATATCTACTGTACAAAATGGGCAAAGGACTGTGAACATCAAAGTCTTTGCTGGTTTTCAAAGGCCGAGCCACCCCTCATTCCTGGTTGCCACGTATTTAATGACTACTTTTCACTTCTTCTTTGAAGCTGAGCTCTCTAGTTCAGATGCCTTTAGGGGCTATTAGGTACCCAAAATAAATGGAGTGGGCTACAGGGACTGAAGGTGCTAGACTGTGGTAAGCTAGGGGTGTCTTTAAAGTGTTTAGCAGTTTCTGGTCCATCTGACTGTTGCAAGGTGAACATGCAGGGGCCCAATGTTGTCCAGTCTTCTAATTTTTAAAGAAAGCTGGAAAGCACAGATTTTTATGTGAACTTTCTGATTTTCATTTTTTGGCACCTACCTGAAATTTGCCATAAACATTTTGTGGACATTAAAAAAATTCTTTGGGCCTGAGTTAACCCACAGATTTCTAGTTTTTAGCCTCTGCTTTAGTGACTTCCAGTGCACGAAGCCATTCTGTCTTATACCTGTCTTAGTAGTTTTGTGAGTTTTTCTTAAAGCTACCTATAAAAAATTTGTACTAATGTCTTAATGCATTGGCTTCTGTTAGGAAAAGAGAACACAGAACCTTACAAAGTTACAGCAGAGGAGCTCTCTGGAAATTTTTTTTCCATATGGAAATTCTTTCTTCTTGGAATTCTCTCTCCCTGATGCCTCCTGTCCCCACTGGGTTTGACCTTGTACCATTATACTTCTAGTTCTGTACAAAAAAAATCTTCTCCTCTCCTTAGACACAAGTGAAGTGGGAGCTTAATGGTTTTAAAAGAAATTCACTAAGTATTTATAGAGAATAAAAGTGAAATACCTACAAGAAGGACATAAATAGTTGTTGCCTAAACACAGATTTTTTTTTTTAAAGATTTTTAATTTATTTTTTGACAGAGAGAGACAGCGAGAGAGGGGACACAAGCAGGGGGAGTGTGAGAGGGAGAAGCAGGCTTCCCACTGAGCAGGGAGCCCGATGCGGGGCTCGATCCCAGGACCCTGGGATCATGACCTGAGCTGAAGGCAGACGCTAAACAGCTGAGCCACCCAGGCGCCCCTAAACACAGATTTTAAGCTAAACAATTATTGTATCACATGTGATTATTTTTTACTCCACTCCATTTAAGTGTAAGAAATATCTCATTGTGTGACTTATCATGATAATCATCATTATTGCTAAATCTGGCTCTGAGCTCCCCATCTCACTGGGTGGTAGAACAATAAATCCACAGGTGTTACAAAGGTCCCAGAATATATGGTGAAGACGGTCTGTTCTATGTCCATCACTGCTGGATAATCCATTGGAAGCTCAAGAATTTCCCTTTAGAAACAGTTTGTGATTGGGTGTAATCTAGATGGAGGGAACCAGATGACCTGATTTGAAACTGGGCTTATGTAAAAAACATACTGGTTTTATTTAGATTGTGTGTTTGTTTGGCAGTGTGGTTGACAGTCGCACTGATGGGGATTATGAGAAGGGAGGTTGAAACTCCCTAAGTACTGCTTGGCACAAAACATATATGGTGATAGTCCACATGATTTCCTGGAAGGTATAGCACGTCTGGGAACTCTGCTGAGACTGGCAGCTTTGGGTACCAAGTAGAGCCTCCCTCTCCAGGTGTGTACTTTCTAGGGGAGCTGTAAGGACAGTGGGCTTAATTTGCACTCTTCCTGGAATTGGCAGCCTCTGCCCTTCCTAATCCTGGGGGAAAGCATGCCGGCTCTAGACTTCTACCTCTACACCCTCTTAGTCTCTGAAGTCTTTTCTTCCTCTGAGGATAGTCTGGTTCTTTTCAAAAATTGTGATGTGGGAGTAAGGAAAGTATCCCCCACCCACACTTTTATCCTCCCCTCCAGTTCACATACCTTCTTTACTCTTGGTGTGGAGCTGAGTAGAGACGGCTAGGTGGGCAGAGTTTTCACTCATTCTTTCAGATGTATCAAAAACACAACTCTGGCTTCCGAAGATGGCAATATTCAGTATTCACTAACACCTCTTTGGCCTTCTTTCCCTCTTTGTTGCTTGCCTTTCCCTACTTGAAGAGCAATCTCGAGAAAG